GAAGCAAACAAAGCATAAAGTATGCCTTAATATAGGCAACAAAAGTCAGATGCAAGTATTTAAGCTAATAATACAGTTCACTAAAGACTTACGAAGAAGAGCTGACCAAAGCTTTCAAGCGCCCGTTAACATCTGTAGGATCACTGCCTATCTTGCTTGGACACTTAGACCCGTATATTATAACGGGAATAATTAAGTAGTATAGAATTTGAATAGATAACTGAAAATTCATTCTTGTTTCGCCAGCCATTTGTATTAAAACTGGACCTGAACCAGGAACCAAGTCGAATGCCGAGGCCTGCAGTCTCACCATCCAGCGGAAACAAACAAAACACAGGTATCTCACCAATCTCGTACCCCGAGCCTTCGTTTTATATAAGTAAAGTAGGGGAGATATCAAAGAAAAACGGCAAATTACGCCTAAATTCATAACTAAGACCACATCATAAAGTAAGACAAATGTTTTTCTACTTATTTTTTCTTTCAAAAATTTCGTATTTACATGCATTATAGATATCGCTCAACTTCAACAATTGGCCATTTCACGGATAACTCAGTCATTCCAAATCTAGTAGCTAGTAAAAAATCATTAMTCTGAAAAGAACATCCTAAAATTAGCAAATTTACAAAGTTTGAGAAAAAACCTTTGAAAATTCAACAACATACAGCCCTTCAAAAACACCAATATTTGCAAAAAAATTATGGTCAGGTTAAAACCACTCGACCACCATACATTTCTTTATGAAATGTTGTGATTTTTAGAAGTCCTTTCTTCACGGATTTTCAACGTATTATTCTCAAACTTTGTACATTTACTATTTTTAGGCTGTTCTTTTCAATGTYGTAATGTCGGTCATGTGCGCTGGTGCTACGCTGATAATATTCATGGTGTCCAGTGTTGACTGCCATAGAACACACTCAGTTCTACCTGGAAAACGTCACAACCAAGAAAATCATTCTCACTACGGCCTTAGCATGTTTGATCGTTCTGCCTGCAACCGTGTCAGCAAGAATACTTTTGACTACAACCGATTTAAGAAAGTACCAGTCGCAGTGGCTGTGGGTCTAAATGTTCTCATCATTTTATTTTGCTCAATCAAAGTACAAGTCACCGCCTACCGTCAAAGACGAGCCATCAACGCACAAGCAGCGACAGTACAGCTACAACAAGAAGAACAAGAAGAGCAGGCAAGGCGACTTAAGGAATACAAGCGAGCATTCACTACAACGGGTTTATTGGTAATTGCATCGATTATTCTCTACTGCCCAAACATCATCAATGCCATCCTACTAGCCAACAATGGTGGAGACAGGTCCAGCCTTATCTTGAATCCTGGATTTGACGTGACGTTCATCCATCTACAGTCCCTGTTGAACCCGATCATCGTATCGCGTCGATTATCTTACATTCGTGAAGGTGTGAAGAACAAACTATGTTGTCGTGAGTAACCGTTGTTTATTGACAGTTGTTGTAGACTAAACTCTTTTGATTACTTCTATTAGTCTGTATTGTACAACATACTTACAGATGAAGACTGATTAACCTCTTGAACTGTCACTCAGTTTTCATAAAACTACCTAATTTTTCTTAGACTTTCTTGAAGAACTACAGCTTAGGCTGCTTCCTTATTGAGCTAATTGTAGCTGTAATACTATGGTCTAAAACTGTGCATGTTTTTCATGTAAATGTTTAATCATTCTTGGTGATTACTGTAATCTGATTGGTTAAAAAGTGACCGATTAATCATCGAAATAGCATTTCACAAAGTTTAATCGTCATTATTATCATTAGAATTATTCTCTATGATCGGTTTTAAAATGTTTGAGTCACGTGACAATACGCCTGTACGGTCATATGATGTAATACCGATATTGTTATCCATCGTTCAATAAACGATTTTGAAGCCAACCTATTGTTCACTATAACTTTAATGAAAATCTTTCTAGGCTGAATTTTAATGTCGATATTTTTTTATTAATTCGTATTCATAACTTCCATCATTTTTGTGGTTACTCCTTCTCAAAGACGGGTAACCACTATGTTATCGTGTTGTAAGTCCGTCCGTAACACTATCATGTGCAATTGGAGAATCCAAAGACAACCCAAACTGCACCCCCTTTATTTGAGCAATCGCTAACTGAAGTCTCCCCGCCTCTAAATTCACCATCTGTGCCCTAATATCCCTCTCACTTTATAAGCGCTACACAGACACAACACACCAAATGTCAATTGCTATGAAAAACCAGAGAAGGGGGTTAGAAAGGAAAATTTTCGTTGTTCCTAATCTCTCGACACCAGTTCTTCAAGAAGACCAGGACTACAGGTTTAGGCTTAATTTAATKAAATTGTAGCAGTAATACTATGGTCTAAAACTGCGCATGTTTTTCATGTAAATGTTTAATCTTGATTACTGTAATCTTGGCTACACAGCACGTCACTTACACCAGCGAATTGATGAGCACCGTTACTCAACGATTGGAAAACATCGCTTCCTAGAACACGGTCTTAAGACTGTTCCACSTACAGACAGTTTTACTGTGATTAAAAAATGCACGAGCAAGTTCGATTGCTTAATAAATGAAATGTTTTATATAAGATCACTTAAGCCAACACTCAATGTACAATCAGACTCCGTGCGCGCGAGACTATTTGTTTAGAACAATACTTTGTATATTTTATTGTTTTTCGCTATTGTTTCATGTGTATATATAGCTCTTCAGTTGTAATAAATTCAAAATTGCTTGAGAATGGCATCAGAGGATGTTGAAACGTCGCAAAAATGAATCTAGTTGCGTTTGTCTTTTTGATTAACTTTATTTCAAGATCTAAACTTATTACTGTAATCTGATTGGGTAAAAAGTGACCGATTAATCATGGAAATAGCACTTCACAAAGTTTAATCGCCATTATTATCATTAGAATTATTCTCTTATATGTTTGAGTCACGTGACACTAAGCCTGTCATCTGATGTAATACTGCTATTGTATTAGCCTCCTCCACAGGCAACTCTTTTTTCCTCCTTTGGGCTTCCTTTGTAACGGTCATTTTGGCCGTTAGGGACTAGTGACGAGATAGCAAAAAGACAGGAAGCCCGTGATTCTTAGTGATGCCTGCGGAGGAGGCTA